CACACCTGCCTCCCCTCTCTGGTCCTCGGCGCCCTCGGGGTCAGGGCAGAGGGTGACACTGGGTGGGGCGGACATCCGCCTCTTACGTGAGCCTGTTCCCTTCGAGGCGGGCGAGAAGGGGACCCCTGGGCCCCTGTGACACGCAGACCCCCACACACAATTCGTTAACCTCTCCTGGAGCCCCTGTCCCCTTTTGAAAAGTGCAGTTAAAAAGCAAGGTGGGGGTGGGGGTTGGTGTCGTGGTGCAGCTGGTTAAGGTGGTTACCACCTCGGATCTCAGCACCCACATAGAAATACCTGGATTTGAGTCCTGGTGCCGCTCCCGATTCCAGGTTCCTGCTAATGCACACCCTGGAGGCAGCAGATGATGGCCCAAGTGCCTGTGTCTCTGCCACCCACGTGGGAGGCCCGGGTGGAGTCCAGTCTCCTGATTTCAGCCTGGCCCAGCTGCGGCTACTGCGGGCATTTGGAGAGTGAACTAGTGGATGGAAGATCTGTCCCTGTCTCTGTCTTTCAAATAGATTTTATTCAATAAATGAAAATGTGAAAAATAAGATGTGCTTGGCGTAAGAAGCCATGAGCTAACCGCCATTATCAGTTGGAAGCATAGGAAACCCTCCAGCGTTCCCTTAATACCGTCTTGTTCCGAGAACTGACTCCCAGTTTGTCAGTAACGGCAGCTACCCCACACGTGCGTAAGATCTGCCAGACTCCCCCCGAGAAGTCACACATCCAGGGAGGAAGATGGGAGGGGACCAGCCTGAAACTGCAGAGCGGCTGCCCAGGGCAGAAGCGGGGAAGCCGTGGGTCCGAGCAGGGGTGAGGAGGCTCGCGGCCACGTACTGCTCTCGACTCTACGGGGAAAACCACCGTACAACGTGGGGCCCCGGGTCGTCACATCCAGCCAACAGGCGTTCCTCCCAGGCGGCAGGCGGCAGGCGGCAGGCGGCAGGCGGCTCCGAGTCTGCTCTAACTCAGCTGCACGCCCCCAGCCATGATCGGTGACTGTAGGTGGAACATGAGCCTTATTAAGGAGCCAGGGAAACCAGAAAGTAGCCAGAGGAAGCAAGCATCGGCAAATCTGAAGTGCGATGATGATGGTGACGAGAGTCACATGTGAGTGTGTGTGTGTGTGTGTGTGCGCGTGGGGCCACAGGGTGTGTGTGACTACAGTGTGTGTGTATTACTACAGTGTGTGCATGTGTGACCACACAGTGTGTGTGTGTGTGACCACACGGTGTGTGTGTGACCACAGTGCGGGGTGTGTGTGTGTATGTGACCATAGGGTGTGTGTGTGTGTGTGTGTGTGTGACCACAGTGCAGGGGTGTGTGTGTGTTACTATAGTGTGTGTGTGCATGTGTGACCACACGGAGGTGTGTGTGTGTGACCACAGGGTGTGTGTGTGTGACCACAGTGCGTGTGTGTGTGTTACTACAGTGTGTGCGTGCATGTGTGACCACAGGGTGTGTCTGACCACAGTGTGTGTGTGTATATTACTACAGTGTGTGTGTGGATGTGTGACCACATGGTGTATATGTGTGTGACCACAGTGTGTGTGTGTGACCATTGTGTGTGTATATGACCACTGTGTGTGTGAGAGACAACAGTGTGTGTGTGTGACCACAGTGAAGGTGTGTGTGTGTGTGACCACAGTGAAAGTGTGTGTGTGTATGACCACTGTGTGTGTGAGAGAGACCACAGTGCAGGTATGTGTGTGCATGTGTATGACCACTGTGTGTGTGTGAGAGAGACCACAGTGTGTGCATGTGTATGACTACTGTGTGTGTGTGACCACAGTGCAGGTGTGTGTGTGTGTATGACCACTGTGTGTGTGAGAGAGAGACCACAGTGCAGGTATGTGTGTGTGTGTGTATGACCACAGTGCAGGTGTGTGTGTGTGACCACAGTGCAGGTGTGTGTGTGTGTGTGTGTATGACCACTGTGTGTGTGAGAGAGAGACAACAGTGTGTGTGTGTGACCACAGTGCAGGTGTGTGTGTGTATGACCACTGTGTGTGTGTGTGTGACCACAGTGCAGGTGTGTGTGTGTGTGTATGACCACTGTGTGTGTGTGTGTGACCACAGTGCAGGTGTGTGTGTGTGTAAAAAAATAAAAGATGCTCCTTGAGACACCTGCGTCCCACATGGAGTGCCTTCAGTGGAGTCCCAGCTCTGCTACTTGTTCCAGCTTCCAGCTAATGACCACTGTGTGTGTGTGAGAGAGACCACAGTGCGGGGGTGTGTCACTTGATTTCCTGTCACTCTAACAAAACAGCCCGAGGCTGGATGACTCGTGAAGAGCAGGGGTTCGTTCAGCTCCTCGCCCTGGAGGCTGGGTGGGCCCAGGACCCTGGCACTGCCGAGGGCCTTCCTGCTGCAGCATAGCATGGCCGAAGGGGTAAGCCAGAGAGACAGGGCTGTGGCTTTGCAGTTTTACTTAATCAATTGAATTTGAAAGGCAGAGACACAAAGCGATAGGGATGTCCAGTCTGCTACTTCACTCCCCAGCTGCCCACAACAGCCAAGACTGGGCCAGCCCAAAGCTAGGAACCAGGAGCCCAGTGGGGTCTCCCATGGGGGTGGCAGGGACCCAAGCACTTGAGACATCACCGTTTGCCTTGCAGTGTGCACATTAGCAGGAAGCTGGAACAAGGAGCAGAGCCGGGACTCCACTGAAGGCACTCCATGTGGGACGCAGGTGTCTCAAGGAGCATCTTTTTTTTTTTTTAAGATTTATTTATGTATTTGAAAGGCAGAGATACAGAGAGCCAGAGGCAGGGAGAGAGAGGTCCTCCATCCACTGGTTCACTCCCCAAATGGCCGCAGCAGCCAGAGCGGGGTCGATCGGAATCCAGGAGCCTGGAGCTTCCTCCAGGTCTCCCATGTGGGTGCAGGGGCCAAGGAGTTAGGCCATCCTCTGCTGCCTTCCCAGGCACATGAGCAGGGAGCGGGATCAGAAGTGGAGCAGCCGGGACTTGAACCAGAGTCCACATGGGATGCCAACACTGCAGGCGACAGCCCCACCTGCTACGCTGCAGCACCAGTCCCCCAAGGAGCATCTTAACTGCTATGCAAACACCCGTCTTAGAGCTCACTTTTATAAAAAAGCTAATCTCTTGATAACTCATTAATCCAGGCTCGGACTAAGACACTGACTGATCTTTCGTGAGGGCCCTGCTCTTCCCAAAGATGCCCACCTCTCACAGGTTCCACCTCACATACCATTAACACAGAACTCCGGGGATCAAGTTTCCAACATGGGAAACCTGGAGGACACATTCAAATTGCAGCACAGCGCCAGAGGTGGAGATGGTGGCATTGTTGCCTGTGATGTTGACGCTGGTGCTGCCGGTGGTGCTGGCGATGACAGAGCACAGAGCAGCGGGGGTGGTGGTGGTGGGGGTGGTGGTGGTGATGCAGTGGGGGTGGTGGTGGTGGTGATGCAGTGGGGGTGGTGGTGGTGGTGATGACGGCAGTGGGGGTGGTGGTGGTGGTGATGACGGCAGTGGGGTTAGTGGTGGTGGTAGGGCTGGTGGGGATGGTGATGGAACTGGTGGTGGCGGTGGTGACCGCAGTGGGGGTGCTGCTGCTGCTGGTGGTGACGGTGGTGGAGCTGGTGGTCGTAGTGTGACACTGGTGATGGTGACGGCGGTGCTGCTGATGCTGGTGGAACTATGGACAGTGCTGCTGAAGACGGTGGTGTTGCAGGCAGCAGTGGTGGTGGTGGCACTGCTGGTTCTGCAGGCCCTGTTGATGGTAATGCTAAGGGTGATGGTAATGCTAAGGGTGATGGTGATGGTGGTGGTGGCAGTGGTGGTGGCAGTGGTGGTGGCAGGGGTGGTGATGGTATTATGGAGGAGCCATGATGGTGGTGCCAGAGATGGTGGTGATAGGGGCGACGGGGTGAGGGTGGTGGCAATGGCAGAAAGAACATAGTGAAGCAGGTGGGTAGAAAACTGAGGTCAAACGCAAAGGCTGGGACACTGGACAAGGGTGAAGTCCAGGGACATCAGTGGGCGGTGGCACCGCTCCTCCCACTCTGCATGGGGTTCCAGCTGATGCCACGTGCGTCTGACTTTCTCGCTCTGCTTCTGGAGGGTGGGGCTGGTGTCATTAACTCGACGTCCCCAGCACCTGGCACTGTGTCTGACCTGCAGCAGGTGATCTGCGAATGTTTGTTCTATAAACAAAGCCTGGAGACCCTGCACTTGGAGCAGAGAACACAGGGACACAAGTCCTGCTCTCCCTGGCCGTGTGACCTTGAACAGGTAGCTTCAGCCCCCTGGACCCCAGTGTTCACTGAACGGCCCTGCTCTAGAGCATCTTCATGGCCAGACACTGTTCAGAGCGCCGAGGTAGCAGCACGGAGCGCTTGGTCTTGGTCTCAGGTCTCACAGAGATACATAGTGTGCCGTGAACATGCAAACGAAGGAAAAACCTTCAGCACGGGTGTTTGATACGGAGTGAAGTGGGGTGATGTGATAAAGAGTGGTCAGGGAGACCTCTCTCTGATCAGAGACACCAATGACCAGGAGACGCCCGTGCCCGGTGACATCTGAGTTTCTAGTGATGGCTTGGAAAGCATAGCTCAGAGCCGTGCAGATGAGAGGCTGAGAGCGGCTCGGGTCACACAGAATGGGACTGGGTCCTACCGAGCGGGAGGGGAGGCTTTCCCTCCCAAGTAGAAGCGTGGTGTGTGGTTGGAAGCCGTGGGAGTGGGTGCGAGCCAGGAGAGGAGAGGTGGGGCCGAGGAGGGTTTACGGTCAGGCCAGGGCTGCGGTGAGAAGTGCTGGGGAGGGCAGCATGGGGGGAGCGTGAAGGTCTGTTTTATGGCCTTGACAGTTTTGGGATGACTGGGGCCATCCCGGCGTGCACACACGGGCACAGAGCGAGCACTGGTGGGGTCGGTGCGTGAGTGGGATGGGGCTACGTGCAGGGAGCAGGCAGCACAGGGCTTCCCCGCAGTGACGGCTTCCTTGTCTGTTCTTGTCCTCTTGCAGGTGCCCGGGGAAGCCAACGTGGCCAGCATGGTGGCCAAGCTGAGCCAGCTGACGAGTGTGCTGTCGTCCATCGAGGACAAGGTACCGGCAGGGCTCCTGCGGCTTCTCTTTGCTTCTCGCAGCTCCACTGTTTGTGCACAGAGTGCCCAGGCATGCTGGCCTTGTGCCCTCTCTGACTCTGTGTGCCGTTGCTGCCGCCCGCAGGTCAAGGCCTTGCTGAACGAGGGGCCCGAGTCCTCCCACCGGCGTTCCCTCATCCCTCCAGTCACCTTCGAGGTACGTGCTCTTGGCTGTGCACTTGGGAGCTGGGGGGATACAGCCCAGCCTGGTCCCACTGACGCATGCATGATGGACGTGCTAGGCTCCTCCGGGACTTCAAGTGGCTCCTTGGGGGGTGTCCTTGGGGATGAGCCATGCTGGGGCAAGGAGGTTCAGGAAGTAGAAGCCTGGGGGTGCCATCCAGGACGTCGATCCAAGGCTGTCCGGCAGTGTAGGTGAGGGCTCGGGGTCGGCATCACGGAGGCCTACCGGGAAATCCCTGAGCAGCGTGTCTCTCTCTGCCAAGGTGAAGTCGGAGTCTCTGGGGCTTCCTCAGAAGATGCACCTGAAAGTGGACGTGGAGTCTGGGAAACTGATCGTAAAGAAGTCCAAGGACGGCTCAGAGGACAAGTTCTACAGCCACAAGAAAAGTAAGGCCCCGTGCACCTGCCATGCCCTGGTTCTGCTGGTGCCTCCCCCACGACCTGTCAGGAGACGACTGGTCAACGGCAGACCACCAGGGAACCCAAGCCCTGCTGGGCCTGCGGACCCTCTCCTGGGGTGCCCCGCCCCCACCCTGCCTGCGGAGTTCCTGCCCTTCTCTGGGGTCACCTCTCACGAGGCCTCCCCTGCATACCCCCCTCCTGTGTGCAGCTTGGGGAACAAGCGTGTGCCTCTCTGTTGGTGCTCTGGCAGGGGCTGTTTACCTGCGCTGTGTGTGTGCATGGATATGCATGTGTGTGCATGCGTGTGTGTGTGTGTTCTCTCCCACGTAGGAACCAGGCTGGCCCCATAGCACTTGCACAGAGTGCAAGGCCCGCACAGACAGGGTGTGGTTGACAGCATCCTTAGCACAGCACACACTGAAGTTCATGAACTCGGGAACCAAGTTTCTAAATCTGATTCCCGGCTCTGCCACTCAGCAATTCTGTGACCTCAGATGTGACACACAGCCTCTGGGGGCCTCCGTTTCCTTGTCTATAAAATGGAAAAATAAAATGGGCTCCTTAGGATAGAGCCCGACACATTGTAGCCACTCCGAGAGGCAGCTGAGAATTGTGGGCTCTGAGCCCCATCTTGCTCCATCACGTGACCTCTGAGCTGTTCACACAGCAGGTGCCTCTGCGGAAGGCACTGGGAGCTGGGGTGAGCAGGACAGACGGGGGCCCTGGCCTCGTGGAAGTTAGTGTCTGGCACATTGATGGCTAATAAACAGTCAACTAGGTACCCCAGTACAATGGGCTCGGGGCTGAGAAGTGACCAGTGCAACAGGGGTTTGTGGGAAGAGCATTGCAGCGGGGGCCTGCAGGTCGGCAAAGCAGGGCCTGGGGAAGAGGGAAAGGGCAGTCCAGGGCAGGGGTGTTGGGCCACTTGGCCTGTTGGGAGGGCAACAAGTTCGGATTTCCTCTCCCGCACATGGGCAGGGCTTTGGGAAACTGAATCCAGAGCTTCAGGGTTAACCCTCAGTGCCCTTGAGTTTGCCCTACCTGGGGAGGGATGCTGGGAGACTGCGTGCATGTCTTCCACCCAGTGCTGGGCCCCTCTGCAGGGGCTGGGAGGTAAAAGGTCCAGGTTAGGAGGCCCTACACAGTGTCGGGAGCCTGGGGATGCCAGTGCCCGGCTGGGGGCCACGTGTGGCCGGCCGCGGCGGGAGCAGAATGAGCACTGAGCAAGCACTGGCGTCTCCCAAGCAGTCCCAGCTCTGGCTGACTGTGAGTGACAGCTCCTGCCCTGAGGTGGCCGTTGCTTTAGGGACCGACAGTTTGGCCTGTGACACTCCACTCACACTGGAGATCCTTCCACCAAAGGACTGCCGCCTTCCCAGGACAGGACCCCCTGAGCCAAGGCCCCTCTGGTCCACAACAGCATCTCTAACCCTGCTGAGTGGGCGCAATTTTGGTCTCCACATTTAGCAAATAAAAGTACAGGAGGCCCAGTTAAATCTGAATTTCAAATGAACAATGAGTAATTTTTTTAGTACCCATATGTCCCTTGCAATGTTGGAGACAATTTTATATATGAAAAAAAAAGTAATGGAGCAGGTGCCCTGGTTAAGATGCCAGCCAGGATACCCACCTCCCACACCAGAGTGCCTGGGTTCAAATCCCAGCTCTGTTCCAGGTCTAGCTTCCTGCTAAGGCAGAGGCTGGGAGGTAGCAGGTGACGGCCCGGGTCCTTGAGTTCCTGCCAGGACTGATTTCACGGCACAGTGGGTTAAGCTGCCACTTGCACAGCAGGCATCCCATAATAGAGTGCCGGCTGGAGTCCTAGCTGCTCCACTTCCAGTTCATCTCCCTGCCAAAGTGTCCGGCAAAGCAGTGGGGTCCCTGCCACACATGTGGGAGACACGTATGGAGTTCTGGGGCTCCTGGCTTCAGTATAGACCAGCCCTAGCCATTGCAGCCATTCTGGAGAGTGAATCAGAGGTGGAAGATTCCCCCCCTTCCCTCCCTCTCTCTCTCTCTCTGTGTTTCCCCAACGCCCCCCTATCACTCTGCCTGTCAAATAAATAAATATTTTAAAGGAAAAACTGGCCCCCTGACACCCATGTAGGGGCCCTGAATTGATTTCCCAGCTGCTGGTCTCTGCCTGGCCCAGCCCCAGCTGTTGCAGGCATTTGAGAAGCGGGAACTCGCTCGCTGCCTCTCACATAAACTTTAAAAATTAATAATAAACCAATGACTCATTGTTTTTCTGAAATTCAGATTTTTCTAGGCATCCTAGAGTTTATCCGGTAACTCCTGGCATCATCAGCATCTTTTGTTCTTTTTTTTTTTTTTTTTTTTTGACAGGCAGAGTGGACAGTGAGAGAGAGAGAGACAGAGAGAAAGGTCTTCCTTTGCTGTTGGTTCACTCTCCAATGGCCGCCGCAGCCGGCGCTCTGCGGCCAGCGCACCACGCCGATCTGAAGGCAGGAGCCAGGTGCTTCTCCTGGTCTCCCATGGGGTGCAGGGCCCAAGCACTTGGGCCATCCTCCACTGCACTCCCGGGCCACAGCAGAGAGCTGGCCTGGAAGAGGGGCAATCGGGACAGAATCCGGCGCCCCAACAGGGACTAGAACCCAGTGTGCTGGCGCCGCAGGCGGAGGATTAGCCTAGTGAGCCGCGGCACCGGCCTCATCTTTTGTTCTTTACAAAGGAGTTAAAGGAATGGAAAGAACAGAACGGATACACTGGGGATGGAGAGAGGTTCTATAGGGAGTAAACAGAGAAACTTCTCCGTGAACCTAGTGTTATAGTCAAACACACATATGCATTCCTGTGCATAGAGCCAGCACCCAAAATTAACATTTTTCCTGAGAACCACAAGGAAACAAAATAAAGGGATGCGAGCCCTGGGCGGGAGGTTTTGCTGCTGGGATGCGGAGTGCTGTCTGCCATGTGGGAAGCAGGACTTGTCGGGTGGAAGGTTCTGGAGGCAGGCTTTGGGCTGGAGACATTGGCTGATGTTGGAAAGTTGGGAAAATCCTGCTGCAGCAGCCTGGCCACACAGGGGCCTTTTGGGGGCGGGGGCGGGGGCTGCAGGTGCACGGTGTGTGACTGCTGCTGTTTGGCCCATGCAGGGGAGTGGCCTCAGAATCCTGGCTCTGAAGCCAGCACCCACAGAGAAGCAAAAGGCACATCCCACACAGGTTGTTGGGATCCCCAGCCTGGGCCACAGCCGGTCCCAATCAAGGCCCCTCGCCTGGGCTGTCTGTTCAGATGGCAAATATTTGTCCTGACAGCCACACCCCAAGAGTAACCTTGTCCGTGGGCCCTAGGGTCCCCTGGGCTGGCCGTGCAGAGGGGCGGGACAGGCCCAGACACTGTGCAGGCAACAATGGGACCCAGGAGGACTCCACAGGTGGGCTGGCTTCCCGTCTCAGCTCTGCCCTGTGCGGACTGTATCACCCTGGCCTATACTCAGTCTCCCGCCGTTTTCTCACCTGCACAATGGGTATCCGTTGTTGGTCGTGAACTTCTCATAGAGACGACACCAGGAGGGTTGCACTCGTGCACGTGAGCACCGTGCCCCCTCCCAGCCCAACACTCAGTGTGTGGCGGTGTCTCCCGTGCCAGGGAGAGAGGCCGGCCCTGCACGGACCTGGGCCTCCCCTCCTGACTCCTCCTGGGCTCTGGCACTGAGGTCTGAGGACAGCCTGGGGTGGCAGGGAATGGGGGTGTGAAGAGCAGGGGGTAGGGGCGGCGAGGGAAGGGCAGAGGATGGAGGGGGGAGGACATCTACTCCTGTCCTGGGCTCTTGGCTGCGTCCCTGTAGCAAGACAGACAGGAAGCACATGGGTGTCCTTGATGTACGTTACACGGGGTGGGGGCGCTCTCATAAGGAGACAGAGGCCCCAAGAGCAGCTGCACCTGAGTGGTTCAGGCTGAGTTTGTGCAGGGCAGAGAGTGATGGACACTGTGGGGACCTCGGGGGCGTGAGATGCGTGCGGTGGCCTAGCAGGAGCTCGGCAAGACCTGTGTGCTCAGGCCCCTCTCTGTGTCCTGGGCGGGGGGCGGGAGGTCCACACAACAGGCAGGGAGGACACCGCTCACAGGAGGGCCGGCACCTGCTTCAGAGGCTGGTCCTAGAGCCGGGGCTGCCTCGTGCTGGGTTCCTCAGGCCCACTGCCCGGCCCCTGTTCAATTCCTGGTGAGAAAGCCCTTCCTGCACCTGCCCATGCTCAGACTCCTTCAGCCAAAACTGCTCCATGAGCCAAGGGGCTTTATTTGGGGTGGGGTGTCCTGAACCCCGTGTAGCACAGAGCGCCGTGAGAAGCCCAGGTCCATCTCCCAGGTCGGTCACTCGTGACCTCCGCCTGGGGCCTTCTCTCTGGTACTTTTGAAGATCGCTCGATCTATCTATCCATCTATCTATCAGACAAAGAGAGAGAGAGATCTTCCATCCCCTGCTTCACTGCCCAGATGACTGCAACAGCCAGGGCTGGGCCAGGCTGAAGCCAGGAGCCAGGAGCTTCCTCCAGGTCTCCCGTGTGGGTAGCAGAGACCCAAACACTTGGGCCATCTTTTGCTGCTTTTCCCAGTCCATTAGCAGGGAACTGGAACCGGAAGTGGAGCAGCCGGGACTCGAGCCCGCGCTCACGTGGGATGCCAGCCTCGCAGGCGCAGCTTAACTGGCTGCACACAGCACCAGCCCCCGGGGTCTTCCCTCTGGCCCTCAGTTTGCTCCGCTGTCGAGGGGAACAGAAGTAGCATCCTGCCGGCTGCCGTGAGTCCCGAGTGAGTGACTGTGGGAGGAGGTGGCGCCCAGCATCTAGGAGGTCTCAGTACTGTTCACCGCCACCATCAGCACCGTCATTAGGCCTCCTGTGCCGCCGTGACGGGGGCGGAGTGGAGCAGAGAGCACGCTTAGGTCGGGAAGTCCTTGGACCCTGGGGTTGTCGCGTCCTGCAGAGTTGGACTCAGCGTTGGGCAAGGGCCCTCTGTCCTGT